AAGACTGAGGGTAAGAGCTTACGCTGTCCACCATAATATCACGTGATTGGATGTAGTGCGAACTTCAATTGTTTAATACCGTGTCGAATGTATGATTAGCTTGACTTGCGACCTTGACCCAGCGTATTTTAGCTATCTGCTTTTCAAAGCGAGGTTTTCAGCGCCAAAATTATGTTAATTCTCCGTGAGGTGGGTACACGTGCTGTCGCAAGTTTGCTTCAAATTGTGATGATAACCGTCGTCTCGCATCTCCATACTGGTTGTCACGGCCTTCATATCGACTGTAGTTGTTGCTATCAATAAGTCAGAGATGAGATGGCTAATAGAATTTCAAATTGTGATGGTCCATTATTGTGCCACTGCATGCGCCATTTTTTCGCGGCTAGCTGCTGCTACACGAAGACTTCGAAACTCTCTTGTCATAAGCTGCCTTTTTAAGCGTGCCATCGGCTTTATCATTAGTATACAGTTCAGTTGCACAAGTCGCTTAAACAGCTCGCTTGTTGCCTTTTCTGCTTGCATGTGCTGGGCACGCTTATACCACATTGCTTAAGACCTTATAGTACTTTCAGCAGCAACATGTGCTCAGTATCGATCGCGGACCAGCGAGGGTAATACCATAACAGGACTTTGAACTTCCTGCTCGATGAATCTACTTTCGCGATGACCAGCATCACAAAAGGTCACTGCGGCATCAACTTGCTGGGCAAAGCTAGCTTACGTTCACAGCTAACAAGTTGATGAGCTCAACACCAAAGTGTAAAAGCCGCTGCGTTCGTGACGAAGACGTTGTAGTCGGGTAACGGGGTTACAAAATATGCGGTTCGCACAAGATGGTGTGACCGTACGTAGGTGTGAATTACGCAAGTTGGTGTAATCACATAGTGGTGTGGCAAAACCATTTCGAGAAGATACTACGTGGCAGGATGGCATATTAATTAGGTTTCACTATGTTAATGAGGAATCACCATAATAATTGGGAAAACCGAAGGTTCAGGATGTTGGCGGCTCTGCCGCAACTAAACAAGCAAATACAGTTTTAATTTTGAACGGGAGAGTTGACTTACTTTGGCAAAGGTTCTCAGTACTCTTGGAGGCAGCAGATTGCGATCCGCTGCACTCGTACTTGTTCTTATAAAGAACGTAAGGTCGGTGCCCTTAGCTTAGCTTCCTCTAAGCAAAGAGCTGCGGTAGCCCCGTATGCTATCTACGCCTGAGTCTTCACGACTGATTCTCTGTGAGGATGAAAGAATACCCCCATTTGCCCATAGGCATGCAGGACAGGCTTAATAAGCTGATGTCCCTGCTTGACTCTGACGGCGCGGAACACCTTGTTTTGCAAGGCCCCGAGGCGATAAGCGCGCGCCTGGGGGTGTTTTCAAGTTTTGAAAATGCTCTGTCAAGGTTTTACGGCAGAAGCTGTTGGCGGCAACTGCGTCCATGACGCCACTGTCGATGACGGATGACTCTTCTCAACACAGGCCGCCCACGGTGAGCGTTAAGACCTTCGAGGGTAAGGATGGAAAGAATCCACTGCTCTGGGTAAGAGAGGCTGAGATGGCTACGGTATCCGCCATGCTTTAGAACGAGCGACAGCGCATGGCGCTAGCTTCTTCCAAGCTCGGGGGGGGCAGGCAAGCATTTTCTCATGCCAAAGGGCTTAAAATCGAATACATTGCGCTGGGGCTTCGAACGTCAGGGCAACAAATTGGTGGTGATTGAGTTGCACTGCAATTGATGACCCCAATGCGTTTTGAAATTGGAGACACAGAATTAATATCCAGTTTTCAAGCCTTACTGATTTTCTAATTGACAACTGCTTTTAAGTTGCAATCTTTGGAAGCTACAAAATCAAAACCTCGAAATCCAGAAGCTCATTTAAGGCGATAATAGGTAATATATTTACTATATTGCCTGAAAGACACATACATTCAACAATGCGTGCGTTGTTCTCGTTAAATCGCAGACTATACGGGATCCTGGCCTCATTTTAAGTGTGTAGAAATCTATCTAATTAGGATTCATGTGTGTCCTCTAATTCAGAAATTGCGGTGTCGCTGCAATTGGAAGAAGATCAGAAAATAGCAGTTATGTTTCACACAGAGTTTGGACCAATATCCTCGTCAGCATTTTCTTCGAAAAACTACTTCGTGTTCAGTTTGAGACATCCAAAAAAATTGAGAGATCGCAAGAATTTTGATGAATTTTGGGAACACCTCCATTTAAAGAGCACCTGCCGTGCTATATCGACTAGATGAAGAGAATTAATTCGTACTATTTATTCTTTTTTCGAGTTAGGATCAATCTTGGCACGCAGAGGTATTCAAATTGCCTACGTTTACACCAAATCCAATAGTTGTAGAATTATATTTGCCGTCACTTGTGCTTTCTCTAGCTTATCTACAAAATGATCTGCAATCATTTTTGGCTAGCCGTCAGAGAAAGCTTTTAGAAAGTCATCATGTCTAATGGTGCTTCAAATCAACGAAGAAATTTGGATGGCCAAATTTTTTAAAGAAGATATAAGGTACAATCAAACAAGTAATTTAGTCATACAAAATTTATATTATTCTAACTACACTTCTTGCGATGTCAAAGTGTGCGACAATAAAGCAGACTTCTAGCGACTGCGTCTCAAACTGTATTGAAACACGGCTCGCCACTTACTACCTGATTATACTTGTGCAAAATACATACAGTGTCACGGCAACCTGGTTCTGAAAGATTTTCGAAATGTGAGTCGACAATTGCTAGATACGATATCTGATAAACGGGAATGAATGAAGATCCATGCATTCGGTCTCTCTCCTCGTATAGATGCATTTGTCGGTCAACTTAATACGAGGGGCTACGTCATTGGCATTTGCATTAATCCGCGAGTGAATCTGCCTGCACTTAGCGTAGACCTTTGGTTTTGTACTTTACAAACGAAAATCTTACTGTCAAACAAAAGATCTATGATGACTGGCGTTGAAAAGTCTTGCACCCGCATTCGTTTCGAAATCGGTCGTCATTTTGTTTGTCAAACATTTGCTCACAAATTCGACACCGATTGGAGAAATCAGATCTCGCGTTTTTGCTCGAAGAAGTGACAGGTCCAAGTAACCTTTAGGCTGTCACAGTGTCATATTAAATACCCGAATGTAAAGCTGCTAGTCTCAATGTTAATATGATGTGAAGATACACCCAATGTATGTGATAACTCGTTTTCAAACTGAAGATCTGAGGTGTTTGAAGTTCGAAAAGTGTTTGACAACAACACATTGACGTATTTTTATCAGATGAACCTGATATTAACGCGAGCAAAATCAGATCGACTTGGTTGTTGTTGCTACCTTTATTCAAGAGATATGTCTTGATTTGGAAGTCAAACATCTTTGCCTCTACATGATTGTCAAGCACGAACGCATGTTGCTCTACGATTGCTAATGCAGTCAATATAGCTTCTGAAGAAGTGCCCTCTTCCAAAAGCAACTCACGATTCATTCCTCATCCATCTCACTTTTCATTTCGACAACTCATCCGCAATCAAAATCGCAAGGAACTAAGACAAATGAAAATCTCTACATCAATCTTGATCGGCCTTGGTGCAGCTTTTCAAAACCTGCACATCACTGAGGTTGCAGGTGACAGTCATGAGGATAATGGCGATGCCAGCTTCAACAGTGATTCATCTGTTGTGGCCCCTACTTTTTCTCCTGAGACCAACGACACTATTCAGCAAGGTGATGTCGTCTCTAATATGTCGACATCAGACCCAAACGTCGGTGACGTCGGGTACTCCGTATTTCAAGCCCTCGAACCGCCGACCTACCTCTTCGAACATACTGACGCTATCATGGGCCTATGTCCACCACGATTTCTCGACTCAGCTTTGATCAAGAATCGTGCCATTCCGACTAACAATTGGTGGGGTAACATCATCGCTCATGACTCCAATGCCGCCATTCAACCCATTTGGTCCAACCCGTACTCGTTGCAAATGGTCGTTGACAAAGCTCCATTTGGCATGTCCGTCAGCTATCCCTATCGCAGCCGCTTTAGTGGTGGCAGTTCCGGCAATAACGGAGCGGTGAAATACTATGCGCACGGTCAAAATCGCGAGTTCCAATTTTCGGCTGTCGAGATTATCAATCAAAAGCCTAGTTTTCAAGTTGTAGATTGGGCCGACCAAGGAGTAACTGTGAAATTTACTGCTGCTTCATACGGTGGCACGATGGTGTCGGACTTGGTATCGGGAATGGTGTACTCTTCAATGAAATACTCAAGTCTTACCCCTCGACTCGTGTCAAGTGCAGCCATCTCCAGCATCAACGGTCAGCCTTGTACTGGGCAAATCCATGGATCAAAGTTTGAAATTGTTTATAACTCTGGTCAAAAGTGGGTCCTCTACGCGCTATCTAGCGATGGCTTAAGTGACAAAGATATCACTTTGACAGCTGACGGTCCGTTTGCTCTCAAAAGCACAGGCACTTTTGACGGTATTTTGCGCGTTGCACTCGCGCTTGAGGATTCCTGGCTACCAACGCTGGACCAACATAAGTCCTGTATCGTACAAGCTGCAACTATTGATTTACATGATGACACTTCATATGCTTTCAAATGGAAGACAGCGGGTGACTGCTCCTGTGGACTATTGCATTATGCTATGATACACCACTCTGAAACTATTGACAAGAGTAGCGGAGTCTGCCCGGTGGAGGGCATGGTGGCCTACTCGACAACTCGTGGAGCATATCAGGCTTTCACGACTCCAAAAAACTCGGGTGCACCTGTGTGGGAAATCAAAGAAACTCAACCAGTACCAGAAGACTTCTACCCGTCGCGCAAAATCACGTCTGACGTGGTGCAGCAGCAACGTATTGTCGACCACTTGCGTGGAGACATCAACGCTGCATGGTCCATTCCACGGGATGGCAGCTACTATTTTAATGGCAAGGCAGCACAAAAGTACGCTTCGCTCTGTTTAATCGCCAACGACCCAGCAATCGTTCGAGGTGACAAGAGTCTTTTGAATTTATGTCTGAATAAACTACGTGGTGTGATGGCACCTTTCGTAGCAAATAGTTGGACAAACAAACTTCAGTACGATCGGATCTATGGTGGTATTGTAAGCTCTCAAGGATTCAAAACCAGAGACCTTAACGCAGACTTCGGGAATACCATGTACAACGACCACCATTTTCACTATGGCTATTGGGTACACACGGCTGCCATCATTAATCGTTTGGACCCAAGCTGGAACGACCTTCCCAAGCTTAATTCAATAGTCAACCTATTGATTCGCGACGTTGCTAACTTTGATCCTAGTGACAAATTCTTCGCACGATTTCGGTCGTTCGATTGGTTCCGTGGACACTCGTATTCGCACGGTGTCACACCATTTGCTGATGGAAAGGACCAGGAGAGCACATCCGAAGACGTGAATTTTGCCTTTGGTATGTACATGTACGGCAAAGCGACTAAAAATGTTGCTATGGAAGCTATTGGAAAGCTCATGACACGTGTCAATACGCACGCTATCAAGACATATTTCTTAATCGAGGATGCCAATCAGATTCATCCTGACAAATTCCGTCCGAACAAGGTCACAGGTATATTTTTCGATAATAAAGTCGACTATGCTACTTGGTTCAGTGCTGAAAAGCACTGCATTCATGGCATCCAGATGATTCCTGTGTCAGCGGTAACCGAATACGTACGCACTAAGCAATTTGTCAAAGAAGAGTGGGAGCAAGTACTTAGTAAGGAGAGTATTGTAACGCGTGAAGACACAGGCAATTCGTGGCTTTCATTGCTCTACGCAAACTTTGCCATCGTCGATAAGCAACGAGCGTTGCGTGTTCTTCAAAAAGCCAAGATGGACGATGGTCTATCGCGTTCGTGGGCACTATACATGGCTGCAAGTTTTGCCGAGTAAGATAATGATCACAAGGCATAAGCTTTTCCTATCCATTTTTTCAATATATTTCATCATTAGACTCTGTCTATTCTTTTATGTGTATAATTCTTATACTTTGTATTTACTGGAAAAGATTACCATATCCATGTCCAAGTTTCGAGTTGTGCAATTGACTCAAGAAGCGCTTAAGATTCAATGCAAAGTGGATGATTTTGAACAGTGGGGAGCTCCGTATTTGACTCTGTCTCAATACCTGAAAAAAGAGGAGATACAACGCGCAACAACGTTTTCTAAACGAGGCTCCATTTTTTGGGCACTTGTTGACAAAAATGAAGATTGCGATGTCAAGATTGGTGATCCAGTGTTGTATTGTCATTGTGAAAGTCATCGCTTTGATTGTGTTGTGCGTCACAGCTCAGGGGAAATTGAACGAGGCTATTCGTATCACATTGGGTCGGTCTTTACGCTCCCGGTATATCGCAATCAAGGACTCGCAACTTATTTTATCACTGAAGTGGCCAAACAGTTGAGAACGTTACCAAATGCACTACTCTCAGTGCTTTACTCGGACATTGGACCAACTTTTTATGATAAACTTGGGTGGAAAGTATATTCGTCGACGATGGCAGTGTTAAGTGTTGGAAAATATGCGAATACTCGCAATGATAGTAGCGTAAAGCTAGAGTTTCTGACGTTAAAAGACAATCTGGACAAGTTGTTGAAAGATGATAATATTCGACTAGTCAACGAGCTGGCAAGTGATCGTTTTCAAAGACAAAAGGCATTTGCAATTCTGCCCACTTGTGACTCGATTGAATGGCAATTTTGTATTGGTGTGCACTTTGCCCAAGTTCGACAGTACAAAGAACTTCCAAGTTGCTGTGGTGTTGTGGCCAACAATGACGCTTTCATTGTTTGGTGTCATAATTTTAAAGAGTCAACGCTGTACGTTCTTCGGGCTCGATGGTCGAACGATAGCGACACATCTACAGAAATGATAAAGTTACTGCTGAATGAAGCGATAAAGGAAGCTCGCAGGTTTAAATTGGATAAAGTTGCGATTTGGGCTCCACCTTCGATCTTAACTAAAGCTGAGGTTTGTAGCCACTTTGAAATGAATGTCATCGAGCGTGAAGACTCGTTGTCAAGTGCTATGATGTTCAGTTCCGATAGCAGCAAAGACGAATTGATGCCTTCTCCTTACTGGTTGGCTAATGAAAAATATGCCTGGGTTTAAACGCGACACCAAGCTGCTTATCATGATTTCTCCAGAAGGATAAAAGTGAACATGAATTCAGCAGGAACCTCACGCAAATGTGTCATTTAAAGTCTAACAAGTAGCTCTTGATGGAGCTTGCTGTACCATCGCGTGAAGCGACAGTAGAGCAATTAGCCTTAGCAGTGAACCAACACTGTTTTTACGATTAGAGCTATATATTTGGAGAAATCTTTTGACATGAACAAAGATCAAAATCATTCCAAAAACCTTGTTACTCGCATTCGAATTTCGTCAGAATGTCGAATATTTTAATGTCTAGCCAGCGCTATTACTGTTGGAATCAGTGCATTCGCTTAGCCATTGTACACATACAATTGCATCTGCCAGTAACATAAGGCTTCAGATTATATAGAGACGTCAATACTTCATATAGAATTATGGCAAATCACGATCAAGTCTAACGCTTGAGGGGCTTGATTAAGTTCCTCAGCATTGAAAGGCTGCGTAAGCCTTTAATACTTGTTCTATTTATCAGTGGCAATACTGTTACACGCATCAATTTAAGATCGAATGTTGTTCTCGGGTAGCGAGAACAAATAGCTGTCAATTAGTCGAAGTTTCGTCACTGCGTAGGCGTTTGTCAAGTGGAGCCTTTATCACACACTCTTCGAAATCACAATGACGGTCTGCAGCACGATAAACCCACGTTCCATCGACACACATCCGAATGTCCCAATTGCATGCCTATAGGAATCGAAGACATGAGTACCAAATAATATATCGAGCAACTCTCGATTTTGCTCGTACCTGGGGATTATCTTCAGGTATAATCACTGAGCGCCATGCCGAAATCTCAGCAAAGAGGAAAAAGAGCATCGCAATGTTCAATCGAAATGATGCCAACACCATCATTGTTCCACTTATTTTTGAGATAGGCGGAAAAAATAAGGATAAAGTAACTTGAAAAACTTGATCACTTAAACTGCGGTATTCGAAGCACTCGATTTTTTTGAGACACTTTGGCCTATAGCAAGAAGTTCCAAGTCTCCACGCAGCTGTCGAACGAGCTGCACAATATTCTCTTCACCAGCGTGTTGCTGTGTTACTTCATGTATCACCTTCTCCATTTGAATACGGTGACGTCTGCATGCTCCTGCTAAGCTTGGAGTCCGCATAAGTGCCAACAGCACACGCAATCGACGAATCAAGACAGACGCTTGCTCCTGAGCCACCAAAAGTTCTTCCACAAAGGACGCAAAGATATTTGATTCGCTTAAAACTAGAGTGGAGATACAAGTTGAAACTAGCAATTGTTCCTGCTCGCGAGTCTCAATCTCTTCTGGTGTCGTTGACTGCTCTGGCAATCGCAAAGCAGTGTAGCAAATCAAGATTTCAAGACACAAATTTCTTAGGTCTTGTTCCATTTCCACAGGAATATCCGAGCGTTGGATCTCATTGTTGCGAGTAGACAGAGCGGATGACACGCACGTGCGGTAGAGTAGTATCAACGTATGCAGATCCGTTATGTTCTTTCCCTCACGTGGTTGAGCTTTCGCTAATGTCGGCGCCAGAATTGTCGCGAGTGAGTTGCCCAGATTCATTGCAACAAAAGTGCGACACACGTGATCAACAAGCTGCAGCTGCTCACGCTGTCGGGTCGTAATTGACACAACAGGAGCAAGTGCTGTACTGACGAGAAAGCTCACCATATGAGCGAGATCAATCTCGTGGCGTCGCTGGAATAAAATATCAATTAAGAACCTTTTGGCCTCATCATAGATGCGAGGGCTCTTGCAACAACTTGCAAGTGCACGCAGCAGAGACACTGGATATCGTGGAAGATGATAGAGAAGCGCAACAAACGTGACTTGATCTCGTTCACTCAAGGCATCAAAGCGGGACTTTGCCAACATTCTTTGCTTTTCATCCTCTAACATAGAAGAAGACGGCACCGCTGCAAGGTCAAAAAATTGAGACAAATTCGCTAGCACTTTCTCCATCTCGTCACCATTTTTCATATCCACAGGAAGCTGTTTAAACACAGCGATCAAGGCAAGTAAACTGCGCTGGCTCAACTCGATATGCTGAGGATTTAAGTGACTAAGCGAGTCGGCAAGACAAACCACCCATTGCATGACCATGGGCCAAGCCAGCTTGAAAATTTGATGGCGCTGTCCATGGAGCGCAATCTCGAGCTGCTCAACAACAAATAATGTGCAGCTACGGAAGCTAACGGACTTTGGTGTACATCGCACGTAAAATTGAGTCACAGCATCCAGCAATAGTCTTCGTTCACTTGCCAAGTTCTTGTAATCATGCCTATGTTGCAGCGCAGACGCCAACATGAGCGTCACGACTTTTAATAGAGGCTTAAGCACATTTTGCATACTGGCTATAGCACGAAGCTCGGCTGTTTCTTGGTACTTTGCGAGTGTAGAGACGACATAAGTGCACACACGTTGTTTCAATTCCTCACTCGATAGCTTATTCTTGTCAGTGCAAGGTGTGGAGCCAGAAAGGCGCAGATATCCACAAGCAAATGTTGCTAGTGCCAAATTCATGCCGTGCCATTTTGACAAAACATATGCACTATCCGAAGTCGCAAGAGTGGCACTAGCACTGGGAACAATAGGAAATGTCTCTGGGGCCAAAAGCTCCTCGCGTAGCTTTAATACGGTCTGGGTAAATTCGTCTTGTTTCATATTATCAGCGTCATCATGCAGCTGATTGGTATTCGCAGCTACCACAACAGCCGTACACTCTACAATGTACTGCATATGCTCAAGATGAATGTCTGAAAGATTGTCTGTTCCTCCTTCAATACACTCTAGCCATAATTCTAAAAGCACTGGCAAGAGCAACCGAACTTTGTCCTGCCACGTAGCATTTGCTTTGTCCCCAGAGCTAGAAGTTATGGATGCACCAGCATATAAATTTGTCGTCACAAAGTGCGGACTTGGGAATAGCAGCAGGGTCTTGGTCATCGGCACACGCGCCGATGGGGCCGTCACTGTTTTTTTCTGACTTGGACTTTCACTCAAAGATAGCAAGAGCTTATGCAATACTTTAAGTGCTGCAAATCGCAAAGCTAAAGCTCCAGAAGGCGCTTTTGAACTTTTGGTATTCTGCTTGGTCTTGCGGCTATCTCGTTTAGATTCTCCTTTCTTGCAGGTAGCGACCGTTGTCTGTAGTACATCGTACGTGTTCTTCATCTTTATTCCTTGCGTCTGCGCTGCACAGATCAAATCTCGAAAATTTTCTAGTAGTCTAGCTAAAACATCTTGTCCTACATCTTCTCGCAACAATTCGGGTGCGACATCCAAAAGCTCTCCGATAGACTTAAGAGTGTCTTGTCGTACGCCCACTTGGAGATGTGTCAAGCCACTGCAAAAGTAGGTTGTTACAAGTGTAGCAAAGGGAGCTATGACACTCCGAAGTACCACAAGTAAAGCTTTCCACGTCTGGACCGCAACTTCGCGCACAATGGCCTCTTCATCCTGTAGCGTGGGCAGCAAATGCTCAAGTATTACGGACGCATTCGCTCGCAAATTACTCGCAATTTTCTGGGTAGTCAATTCTTTGATGCCCTGTAGTGCACGTTGGCGCACGTGGGCATTATAGTGACCCACCTGTTGTAGCAATTCAGATAGTGCCTGATGCCGGTGCGTCAATTGAGTAACACCTGCTTTGTCCTGTAATATTGACTGCTCAAGCAGATTAATACGACGCGATGTAATGCCAACTTTTGTGACGTTGGCTGCAGGTGCGACGCGGCGGCCCACCTTGCGCTTGGGACGCTTAAAATCCGCCGGCTTCTTCTTAGCTTTGGTGGCGGTCGCGGCGCGAGACATGGATTCAAAATGATCAATTTTTACTGGGTAATATTTACAACACAATGAGTGGTTGAAATGGAGATGATTGGAGTAAAAAGACAGTACAACTCTGAAAAATGCGTACAGCACTTAAGTTAGACCTCAGTATCACGTGCATCTTTAACATGTTGGAGAACCCTGCAACGATTCGTACATAACTTTGACTCAACGAATCAACGATGAGCAATCCACCAGACACACAACCCAGGACCAAAACCAAGAGCCTCGTAAGTAGATAGGGCATATCTTTCTAGTCGCACGTCAGATTATAAAACACTTTTATTTTTAGAGACAAGAAAGCGTATAATTTAAGGTGCTAGGTATGTAACCCTCGAATCTATAAAGATGTTCTCGATATCGTTCCGAGTTGAAAGAGCGAACAAACTACTTATATTCATATACACAGCAACTCCGTTGCAAAGCGACACACTGACCATCTTTTGCCGTCCTTTTCTCAAATTTATGCCTCTTCAAGATTTAAACGTTTGCACGCATTTTTTTTACTTTGCGCAAGATGTGCCCAATTCCCCGTAGCTGAAGGCGGTATGCAGCGGCGCTGCCGTAGCTCATTGTTCAAATGAAGCTAAGGTCACCGACCTCACGTACTTTACAAGATTCAGTACGATTGCAGCGGAGCGCAATCCGCTGCCTCCAAGAGTACTTAAAACGTCAGCCAAGGTAACTGAAGTCTTCCGCTCAAAATTGAAGCTGTATTTATTGTTTTAGTTGCGGCAGAGCCGCCAATTTCTAAGGCCTTAGATTTTCCGAATTAATATAATAATACCTAGCTAATATAGTAAAACTTAATAAATTTGCATTACTACTGGCAATCCTGCCACGTAGTGGCTTCTTGTAACGGTGTAGCCACCCCACTGTCTGATTACACCAACTGGCGTAATCCACACCTATGTACGGTCACATCATCTTGTGCGACCCGCTCTTTCGTACAAGAGTACGTATAACCCCGATACACAGTAAGACTTTCCGGAATGTGGCTGACGACGAAGCCTGGTTCGTGACAAATGAACTAGCCCTGCTCAACTTATCTGTCGACAATCCAAAATGTCTCAGCAACTCTCAAACAGATCACTGACTACGATATAACGATGTGGGATTGGTTTTGAACAACTGGATTTGGCATTTTATCGTGCACTTTGTATAAAAGAAGCTTTAACAAACAAGTCCGCGCTAGAAAATCTAAAGAGCTTGAGTTCAAATGCTTTCACCAAACGCAACGCTCGAGAGTCTCTACCGCAACTTGCGGTTTAGTAAGCTCTACTATCTCCTGATTATAAAAATGGTTAGTGTTACTTATACTTAGCACGAATTCATACATCATAGCTGGTGAGTGCCACCAGGAGAGTACCGACCGCTTCTGGCTTTGCTTCCAACGAATTACACAAGCTTACCATGCGTATCTTGTTGTCTCGATGGTAGGAAAGTAAACAGCTCGGAGTACATTCTCATTGACGATACACATTCAGAAGAGAATTGGCGTTAAGTGCCACCAAGTGGGGTTGTTGCACAGTGGAGGCTGTGACTGAAAGATGCTGCATGATTCATACACAAGGGCTTGGTTTGTACGCTCTAGCTAAGAGCGGGACCGATGGCCCCTCAAGTATCATCGTACTTCTTTGCTCTTTATAATTTTCAAGAGTGATATGTATTCAGAATTCAATCTATCTAAGCTAATACTAGACTTACCGGTTTACTATCCTCGATTCAAAAACTGTATGCGTTGCATGAGATGAGAGCAACGGCTCACGTTTCCAACAGATCTCTCTTGTACGAAGTCACCACCCTCATCATTACCAATATATTAGTCAATCTGATTTGTGCACAGTCGCACAAGTAATCATTTTGTGCATTCATTAATTTGTAAGATGTATCTTGCGCAATTGCACTAAAAAGCTCCTCGGAGAGCATTCCGCTGAAATGCATTACGTAGTCTGAAACAAGGACAGAAACTAATATGATTAGAAAAATTATGTATTGAATTTTTCATTTCTTGTTTTTAAATCGATTATCATTAACTTTAAGAAATATTCGCATTGATGTTCGCACGAAAAGTTTGTTAGAGGAAGAACTGGGATACAAGCAACCCATAGTTGGATATTGTGAGTCAAGCTTTAAAATATAGATTAAGATCACATGTGTCTCCCAGTAATATTGTCGATGTGTGTTTGACGATATATAAAACAATTACACACAGCGATATGTCAGCTTTAGAGCTCTATCTATGACGGTTGCTTATCATAATTTGCAAGTCCTGTATTGACAAATGCAGACATTGTAGCTTGGTCTGTCCGTAAGGATTATTTATAATGCATAGTGATAAAATCATCATCCATTCTTCACTGACCACTTTTAACGCGGCTCAATGAGGGCGTTCACATGAGCTGAAGCAGGTCCCTTACAGGTT